GGAGGTTTTGTGTTCCAAATCAGGGATTCTTTCTTCTGTGTAGTCTAATCTGTTCTTGATCATTTCAATGGAGATTTTGATTTCCTCAGTTACATTCTCTGTCTCCAGAAGTTGTGTTTTATTCTTTTTCAGGGTGTCTATCTCTTTATGTTCCTCCTTCAAGTCATGAAAGGAGTTTCTCATCTCCTGGAATTAGTTGTCTGTTTTCTCTTGCATCTCATTGAGTTTCGGTACAATGGACATTCTAAATTTATTTTTTGACATTTATGTGATATATTTAATTTTTTTTTCTTTTGCCATAGGGTTCATGTGTTTGATGAAGAATCACCCCTCAGGAAGAAATGGCCATGCCACATCCATTCTCCTCCATTCTCTTTGGCTTTTCTGTGCACACATGAGCCCTGCATGATTTCAAATCCCTGAGTCCAGGTCTTGAACCATGCAGTCAGTCATGTAGAATTCAGCCATCATAACCTCCATGCCACCTATTGTCCAATTTGGTAACTTTTTTAAAAATTATATTTTAAATGATGATGTTTTATTGACAAAAGAAGGAAAATAATTTCTTAAATGTTTAGTCACCCATGTGTTCCTTTGCCCTTTCATCCATTCAGTCAACATCTGAAAACACAATGGTGTTCCTTCACCCCACTGAAGGAACTCTGAGTAAACAGGCCAGGACGGGACAGGAAGGGCTATGAGATAGAGGGGCACTAGGTAGCACTACTAGAAACAATTGGAAAGAGGTTGATCACTGACTCCTGGATGTGGGAGTCTTCCTAGGGGAGACATTGCCTGAGCTGAGCCCCAATATATGAAGAGGAGTTATCAATGAAAAGGGATACAGCAGTCCAGACAGTAAAATCTGCAAGTCAGTCCATAGAAGTGGGTTGATAATTAATTGCTACCCCTTCCTGGAAATCCATGTTGTTTATATTATCTTGTGTCTCTTCACTTTCAGTCTTTTAGTGGATCAGAAAAGGCAGCCGGGGGTAGAGCAGAGGGTACAGACTTTGGAGTGGTCACTTCTGGTACTGGGATCATGGGTGTTTTTTCCATGCAATTTCTGTAGTTTCTAAATTGTCTAAACTGATATTTATCACTTTTTAATTCTATTTTTTAAAATACTTTTAAAAAGGATCCACCAAGAAAGAATAATCTTCTAGAAGAACTGGGCAGAGTTAAAAATAATAATAAAAAAGAATACAACTTGCTTCTAATATTGAAAATACATCTGTGTATTACTGCATATGTAGAGATAACATGAAATTCTATAGCTATAAAGGCCTGTAACTGGCTCTGTAGTGACCACTTTTTCCCCCATTCCTCTAACACATTTTGCTTTCCACACAAAACAAAATCTTGTTTGCAATGCTGACTTCTATTGATCCAGTCAGCCAAATTAAAGACAGCATTCATTTTTGGATGGTTATTATGCTCATATGCCTCTTTTCTCCCGCCCAGTACAGATAACTAAGTAGTATAGATGACGGTAAAGATGCTCAATCTTTGTAATCCTGCGCTGTAATGTCCTTGGCTTCTTTCCTGATTTATTTGTCCAGATGCAGACGTGGTAGGTTGAACAGATTGGAGCACGGGTTGCCCTGATCAGGAAAAGATTTTCCCTCAGTGTAGTTGACTGCATGTGCACTGCCTGAGGACGTGTCTGCTCCATTTCACAGAGAGTTGTTGGAAAATCATCCACATGTAATTCCCATCTGGAGGACGAGAACAACATGGGATTTCAGCCTATTCTTTGTGTACCACTTCTTTGGGGACTCAGATTTCTCACTCAATCAGGGGAAAAGAGTTTAGACTGAGGGGCATAAGGTATGAATTCTGCTGAATGTCTTGTGTTCCCATTTTAAGATTGACTGGAATTCTGCTGAATGTCTTGTGTTCCCATTTTTTGATTGACTGTATTTCTCCACTCAATTCTGTGTCCCAGAAGACAACTTCTATGGGTTAAAGTAAAGGACATCTTCACTCACTGATATCTAGTTAATAATTTTGACCAGTAGAAATTGAAGTTCATAGCAATTGTGACTATGTACCTGATGAAATCATTCCGTGGGCATTGGGATTTCACATACTATGGACCCAGTCTAGGAGAAGGAAAATTTTTTTCTAATTTGTCAGTTGAGGTACAAGGCGTGAACTTCCTCTCTACTTTTTGGATTCTTGACATAAACCACTGAGCATAGGGTAGATGGGTCAATGCATTGACCACCATGGGGAGATGCACCTGAGCCCAGGCCCCTGTCAGGGCGGGAACCTGAACTCACTCCACTCCCACTTCCCAGCCTCTTGCTAATGCCTCCACTGGCCAATCTCCAAACACCTAGAGGATGTGAAAGACCATCACTGCAGCCTGTGGGGGTCAGACTTGAGGCAGAGTGTAGTGGAGAGTTATCTGGAGTAACAAAGGAAGAAAATAAAGCCCCTAGGGGGACTACATTTGCCCTCAAATAAGTAGGACAACCTGGGGAACCAAGAGACAATATTACCTAGTATTTTTTCATTTCACTTTTCACAAAGCCACCAGCTCCCATCTCCAACAGAACAGGATGTGTGGCTCTTACTTCAGTAACAAACAGGAAACTGGACAAGGCTCAACAGATCATCATTAAATCCTGTACTTTTTTGGCTTGTGGCTTAGTAGAAACATGGAGATTATTTGTAATGCCTTTGTTTTGGGAGTAAACGAAAGATTCTCAGTACTTTTTGATTCCTTAAGCAAATCACCAATATAGTGTAGAAGAAAATAAACGGCATAATAGAGATCCACATTTGTATAAAAAAATTAGAGTGCTTTATAAACTAGTATAGGTATATCCCTCTCTGTGTTCTCAGAAACAATAAATGTAAAGTAGTGAAGCAATCCCATCTCTGATTAAATGATTGAAATAAGGAAATGCTCGCCACATTCAAGTCAACTCAAATTTATCCCCAACAATTTTTGAAACTCATTAAGCTCTTCCATAAGCCCTTAACTCATTTTCCTGACTCTTTTGCGATACCACTGAGGTATTTCAATAAGAGTCAGGTCATTGTTATTTTCCTATTTCTGGAGTAAACTGCCATGTATTCCTTCTTCATTTCTCCCTTCTAAAGAGCGGGTTGAACTAACTATTAAGGGTAGAGATACTACGAAAACCTAAGGAGGAAATAGCAGACCTCTCTGTGTCAGTGCTTGTAAACCAGCCCCTTCCCAGGGACACACTCAGGTCCCTGAGTCCCACACCCTGACGGTCTTGATCCCTGACCCTGGCACACAGTGGGAGTCACCTGAAAACCCCAGAGAGTCTGAGGCCTCACTTCTTGCCTAATGTGTACACAGAAGCAATGGTAAGGAGAAAACCATGAGAAGAATACAAGTGGGCTTCAAAAAGTCATAGAAAAATAGAATTAAAGTATGAGTTGTTTTTGTGCAAAAATTTTTTAAATATATGCACAGTGTTTGTATAATATGTATTTCTCATGAACTTTTTGATGACCTCTTCTATGAGTCTGAGAACATAAACCCTTTCCAGAAAGTCATGAATGAAAAGAGGGAATTAAATCTCTCACAATATCTGAGTGCGTCTTTGACCGACACTATGTCATTTAGTCTCGGAAGAACAGTGTGGGGCTAACAGCAGTGGGCTCAAAGGCGAAGACCCTGTACGTTTCCACAGACCCTGAAATATTTATGGGAATGAAAACTTGAGTGTCCTCTACAACTATCAACAGGGGAAAGGGGTAGCTTATCTATGTAGTTTTAAAGTGGTAAGATATTATATTATCATATAAACTATGTGTTTGCGGTCAGCAGAAGGTGTAGAGGTTAAGGCACTGGACTCCTAGACGACTGACCACAATGTGAGTTGGCTTGAAACTCATGCCAGACACGTGTTCATGCATGCCCAAATTCTTGAGAGGAGAATGGAAGAGAAGGACCCGTGCCATTGTCATCCCCGTGTGGGTGATTGCTCACTTTTTCTCTCTGTCTCTGTGTTTCTCTGGCGAGTGCACAAGCCCTATAGCAAAATCTCTCTAACAGCAAGAAAAAAATGAATTTTGAAGAATTTTAAGTAAAATTAAAGTATTTATCACATATGAACAAGGAGAATGTGAAATACAGAACTGGTTAATATAGTAAACTCTCAAATAAATAAACATTTATCTTGACAAGAGAATAAACTGGAAGTAATTCACAAAAGTTTAGAATGTTGTCTCTGGCATGATAAATGTTTCAAATTTTCTTAGCACTTTCACAGAATTTATCCTATTTTCCCCCATGAAAGATAGGCACTGTGCCAGCACTATACTGAAGTTTGAGAGGCACATTTTCCACAGAGCAAGAAAACTCACATCACACTTTGTTGCCATTTTTTTTCTTTTGGAGCAGGTTGGACTAGAAATATTGATCCTAGGCCTGTCCTTTGTTTGGAGAGGTTTTTGCTATAGGGCATGTGCACTCTCCAGAAAGACAGAGACAGAGAGACAGAAAGCGAGAAATCACCCCCCGCCCCCGGGGAGATGGCCATGCTGCAATCCCTTCTCCTCCATTCTCCCCTCGGGATCTTAGGCACGTAAACACGTACACCTGGCATGAGTTTAAGCCATTGGGTCTGGGACTCGAACTGCAGTCGACTACATGGGAGTCCAGTAACGTAGCCGTTACGCCAACTGCTGGTCCTGATCCTAGTCCTTTTATGTGACCCCAGGCCATGGTGCACAGCCTCTTAACTGTGTATGCTCTTGCAACTGGGTCAGATTTTATATATTTTAACATAAACATTTTATTATTTAAAAACATATGCATAATAGATTTGATATTTTATTGATTGATACATTTATGAGTAAGATTGCCCATGAGATAATATGGAATACACCTATATTCGTAAGGTGCTTTTAATATTGTCTTATAGTAATATTTTCTCACCTAATCATGTAACAACTCTATACTTCTGAGGAAAATAAAGAAATAAATATTTTTAAAGAGTGACAGTGGTACCATGGAACAGAGGGTCAGCAACCTGTATTCCTTCCCAAGTCCCAGTTTTGAAAATGAGGCGGTACTGAAAGAAGCCTTGTTGTTTTGTTCACGTACCAGGCACTGAGGCTTTCACGTCCCAGTGGCAGAGCTGAGTAGCTATCACCATGACCCATGAAGTCGAAGATATTCACTGTTTGACCCTGAACAGAAAATTTAGGTCAGTCACTGCCTTAAAGTAATGAGCGTTAGGTGGCATTTGTTTTTATTTTATTTTCCTATTTCTCCATGTTTCCTCAATGACCAATTTAAAAAGCATTCTTTTATTCATTCATTTATTTTAATTGAGACAGAGAGACCAAGAAAGGAAAAGAGAAAAAGCAAGTCACCAGGTCTGGGACTTGAACCGTGGTCAGCCATGTGGTAGTGTACAGTGCCTTAACCACCACACTACTTGCTGGTCCCTCAATGACCTATTTTTACATACTCATCCTCCCCATATGGGGAGGAATCTTTAATTCATTTTCTTTATTTAAAATGGAGAACACATTTTTAAAATATAAAATGGAGAACATAATGTTGATCTAAATGAACTGTCAGGAAGAATAATAAAATAACATATATGACATGTTTACAATTGTTTACATCATGTCTAATGATGAAAAAAGTTAACGAAAAGGTAAATAAATGGTGATTTATACCATGTTAATGAATTGGAAGATTCAATATATTTAAGATGTTAAATTTCCTCCCATTTGATATTAGGTTAAATGAAGTCTAAATCAAAATCCAGTAGGCATTAATGCAGAAATGAATGAGCTGATTTTAAAATGTATATGGAAAAGCAGAAAAAAAAAAAAAAAAAAAAAAAAAAAAAAATCCAAAACAAAAAGAAACTGAAAATTTCTGAAAAGAATATAAGACTTACTATAAAGCTACAGTATTGAAGATGGTGCACTGTTGCTTAAAGTATAGATACATAATAAAAAGTAAAAATAAAGAATCTAGAAGTCCAGACATCAGTTTTAAATTAACTTCTAACACAAATGCTGAGGAACTCTAAAGGAGAGGATAGACTTTTCAACAACAGGTACTTGTGGCCTGGCAGGTGGTATGCTGGCTAAGGACGCTGGACTCCCACATGGCTGACCAAGTTCCAAGTTCTGGACCCGACAGCTTGTTTTCTCACTTTTCCTCTCTCTCTCTCTCTGTCCCTCTCTGGTCAAATTAAAATAAATAAATAAATAAATAAAGTTAAATAAAATAATTCTAAAAAATAAAAGTACTCGAATGTTCATCTGTGTCATCTGTGTGAAAAAAAAAAAAAAGGAAAGCTTAATCCATATCAAATACCACACAGAAAAAGCATTAACTTGAAACTGGTCATAGTTCTAAATGTAAAATCTCACCATGTTTTACATACAGTTCTGGTGTTTTCGGAGCGATCTAAAGAGATTTTATTGTTCAATACATTTTGCATTTTATTTCTTGAATTCTTCATGGATCTTGAACTACAGATAGTTCCTAAGACACATGACCATTCTCCTCAAGGTTCTGGAAAAGAAAAGTTGAGGACCAAGTGTCAGCAAGGGGGTGGGTGTGGATCATACACACTTACAAAAGGTTCAAAAGGTAACTGATGGCACCAAATAACACCTTGGGATTTCAGTTTATAAAAATCCCTTTCTGAACACATTTTACCATGCCCTTTTGTCCTCTTCAACAGGGTCAGTAGCTGGGAGCAGTCATGAATGAACAGTGGTCCAGTGTGAACACGTTTAGACCTTCCTACTCAAGGACAGAGGCCATGTCTGCTCACAGGACGTAGGCAAGGACAGGGTGTAGCTGACATGAAAACGGGGATCCTCTGAGCCTGACCTCCAGGTCCCGACGGTCCTGGTCCTGATCCCTCTCCTGTACTGGGGGGATCACTCAGCTGATCCTGGCTCTTAAAAGCTGCTCTGAAATGAGTGCATGAGATTGGGAGAAATTTCGAGGCTTCCCTTACCAAGGTATCAGAAAGTGGATTATTTTTTCAAGTTCTAGTTTAATAAGGAATCTCTAATTTCACAGGAGATAGAACTGCACAAATAGCTTCTGTTATTCAAGAAAACGTTCTAACTCATCACAGAACATGTTTTCTCATTGGGTACTGCCTTGGTAATGAACTTTGTTTCCCGGTAGCTTTATTTAAAATGAAGACTTTCACATTTCTCAGGATTATTTGTGTTTGTATATTTGCATTTTCAGTTACTGAAGAACTTCCTGCTTTCACAAATACATTCCCAAATTACTATGTTAAAAAAGCCACGTATGTTATGAGAATAGAAGGCTTTTCCCTTAATGTGATTTCAGAACAGATCAACACCATTGAACACCCTGACATTTAAAAGCATCTCTATCCTCTGAACACTTTTTCAGGTAACGTAGACAACTACCTGGTTGACCAGTAGATCCTGCTCTCTTCTTTTCCTGTTTTGAGCCTTTGTGTCTTCTTGGCAGTTTTCAGTCATTGCTGCCCCAGTGGAAATTAGATATCTTGGTCAATTTATGTGAAGATAATTTACAAAAGGACAGATGACATGAAATCTGTAATCCAAAAGAAGAAGATCGGATTGTCAGCACAGTTTGGAAACTAAAAGTCACAGTATAAAGCTTAGAAGAAGACAGATTTGAAGAAGCTGTGATCAGCGAGACAGAGGAAGCAGGATCAAGATATTCACCAAAGGACTAAGCTCATAGTAACGCCCCTGGTAAGTAAGATCATTCTCTTCTTACCCTAGTAATGAAAAGTGTTATATGCTTTTTAGGAAAAAAAAATAAGTTAAAAATTAAGTTTACGTGACTGCCACATTCTTGCCTTCTGTTTATAAGCCACAATTTCATAGCTACTACTCACTGGATACGGAAACAAACCATTTGGTGAGGGGCTTCTTCTTTCTCTTGTCTTCAGGAAAACTGAAACTTGACTTTTACAATACACACACACACACACATAAACACACACACACCCCAATACGCATATGCTCTCACATGATCATAGACTCAGGGCTTCTAGAAACTAAAATGTTTTGGAACTGTGCCTATAAATCATTGATGTAAATAATTTGTTATGATATTTCACTTGTAAAAGGATTTTTAAAGCATCAAATTAATACTTTTAAAATTACTGTGTGTCTATAATTTGTGCTAAAATGTGGTGTCTTCCCTGTTCAGACAATCTGCAAAACCCTCACTACTGGTTCAACATTCATCCCTAGGATCAAAACTGCTAACTCTGATAGCCAATAACTAGAATGTGAATATGATCTAATTTCTATTACTCTAGCTACGCAGAGGATAAACTGAGCATCAAAATTGATATTACTGTGACCCTCATGTTGCCTAGAGATAGGTCAGATTAACAGAATTTGCAAGTTCAGTAAGCCACTTTAGCTTCAAGTTCCCTGAAACATGTCTTCATGGCATTACATGCTCACTTATTCACTCATTCTCTCGGCAACTGTTCATTAGAATCACTTCTTGTGCTGAATAGTGTAGATAAAATGGCAAACAAGACAGACTCTGTCTTCATAGTTTTCAGTCTCTGGTAAGTATTGTAGACTTGGCTTGATTGGCCTTGCCCATGCTGGTTTGTGGCTGCCAGAGAAGATGGAGCTTTGGGGTATTTGAGCTTTCTTTTACAATATTAGTCAGTTACCATGGCAGTTTGAAGTCCAATCGAACTTGTCTATTCCCAAATCTGTACTCTAACAATTAAGTGTTATTGTAAACATTAAGTCATATTTTTATATTTTGAATACTTTCTTTTCTGTAGTCTGAGCTTTTGACTGTTTACTTAGTGACAATTTGCAACTTGCATAATGAACATGCACACATGCGATGTTTCCTGGCACTGAAATTACTCCACTCCCTCCCCAAAAAGATCATGTAAGTCATACTGAATATGCTTTTTAAAGTAGTTTCAGGGTGCTTCAAGGTATTTCTGTACAATGTGTCATTTTGACATCATTCCATTCAATTTTCTTTCAGTATTGGTATAAAAATATTTAGAAATACTAAAGCTGGTAAGAAAGTTACAACGTCCATACTAAATGACATTACTATGCAGGATGACTCATGGTGCCTCTACGTTCATAACAGAATACTGCGAGATTATAAAAGGAATTTTACAAAGCTGTCAAAGCATTGAAAAGTGAAAGGTGTTATATACATTTTGGTTTTCTTTTCTTTTTCTTTTCTCTTTTTTTTTTTTTTTTTTGTGTCTTTGCTATAGGGCACATGTGCTCGCCAGAAAGACAGAGTGAGACAGAGAGACAGAAAGGGAGAAATCACCCCCCTAGGGGGAATGGCCAAGCTGCATTCCCTTCTCCTCCATTCTCTTCTTGGGATCTTGAGCACGCACACACACGCACCTGGCATGAGTTTAAGCCACCAGGTCTGGGACTCAAACCACAGTTGACTACATGGGAGT